ATAGTGGAATGCTTGTTAATTTATGAATTTCTTGGGATTTATGGACACCCTTCTTCCAAAAATGTAATATAGTCTGATGTTGTGATTCTAGATCTGATGATGTCATGGTTACAGCTTTATTTGTGATAATATGATAATAAAATTTTTTAAAAACTGTATTACAAGTAAGAAAAAACAATAACAAACGTATGTGTAAAATGCAATGTGATATTATTGTTTACGCAAAAAGTTATCACGTTTTAAATCACATGACTTTTTGGCCAATTATTTTTGTAACACACTGTATTTACTCTTAAAATAAATGATTTTATTATAAAAGACATACTTAGGTGATCAAAAATATGTCAATACTCATAATAAAGTAATATTGGGCATTTATACTTGCAATTGGACGCGTCAAACAAAATCTACCTATGAATATAAAGGCAAAATTTGACTTTGAGAGTCAGATTATTTTCGGTTTTATCAACAACCTTCCTTAAAAATTTTCTTAAAGCAAATACATATTATAAAGAAGCTATATCTCAAATTTGGTGGTGGTTTTTACACAGCAAGGGTATCAAACTAGGGTGTGAAGGCATTTGATTATAAAATTTTACGAATTTTAGATCATTAATTTTTCAAAAATTGAGAGTATCTCATTATCACATTAAAATTAAAGGCCTATTCTATCAACTAATAATGCTATTTTTTTAAAAGGTACGACAGAAAGTAACTTCTATACTTTTAAAATTTGCCCAAAATTTAGGAGGTCTTTAGACTGAGCCAACTATATAAGCAGATTTTTTGTTGGAGGTTCACTCAACTTACAAGTAATTTCCATTAATATTAATATTATCATTATTATTAACGATGTTGTCACTGCTTATAATATTCATTAAATTCATACTAAAAAAAATAATGATTAAAAAAAAATCAAAGTTTAAAAAAAATGATATTGTGAGATAGTAAAATAAGGACCGATAGAGAGGTACCATAATGGACATTTGATTTCATTGGCTAAAATTTGTGACGATATATCACGCAAAAATTAAATTTTATTGGCTTGATAATCATTACGCAATTTGAAACAAAATAAATTTATATACAGTCAACCCCCTCTAAGTGCACCCCCCTTGGGAATGAGTGATAGCGTGCACTTAGAGAAACAAAGCATTTCATTGGTTGTACGTGACTCCAATAAAGAATAAAAATTATAACATTATTATCACTAAAAAAAATTTTTATATAATTATTGATTAAGATAAGATTCTATTGTAGTTTGCCTCATTGTATTTATTGTTTCAAACTAATATATATATCAAGAGAATTAACCAGTTTTATTTGTTGACTAGAATAAACAAAATTGAATTAGATAAAGTTACTCTTTTCAGAGACATTTTATTTAGAAGCAATAAAAGAATAAAATATTTAATGAGATGAGTGTGAGTGCAAAAATTAGATGGTTGGGTATGTAAGAGAGTATATATTAATTATTTTTAATTTATTAATGATAAGGTTAATTTATAATAGAAGTTTTATTTTTAAAGTTGGTTACAAGAGCTTAGTTATTAAATAAGATTCTTGATTCATGTATTATTTATAATAATTTCAACTACATAAGCTTCTTTGTTTGCATTCTTGTACTTTTGTTTTAATAACCTTTGTATCTATTAAAAAGAAAGAATTCTTTATTTCCCTGTCACTTAATAAAAATGAACAATTCTTTATCCACCTTTTACAAAATAATTCTGTCATACTAATAAATTTAATTCTTTACCTTTTGCTAATATGGTTGGCTTGGTCTAAAGACCTCCCATTGCTGCGCCACGCGCTCAAATTTCAAAAATTGCAATTTCGTGATTCGTTCAAAAATGCAATAAATTTTTTAAAAAAGGGTTAAAGTGACTTTGATTAAAAAACTATTTTCCTTACTGCCAAATTTAGATAAGATGGTCGAGCATTAGGCTAAATTTAGGAATTATGATCAAAAACTAGTCTAAATTTAGCAATGATCCTAGCGCTCAAATTTCTCATGAGCATAGTAAAGTACATGTTTTAAAAAAGGATAGAACTCTACAATACAAAATTTTTTTGGAGAAAATCTCTTCATCACATTAAAAGTAGAAACCTATTTTACCAATAATGAGGCTATTTTTTTAAAAGGTAGAACAGAAAATGACTTTTATACTTTTAAAATTTGCCCAAAATTTAGGAGGTCTTTAGACCAAGCCAACTATAATAAATTTAATTCTTTATATTCTTTATTATTATTTACCAAGTATAAAATTTAATTCTTTATCATCTCTTACAAAAAATCAATTCTTTAAAGAAAAAGTATTTTAATTTAATAACGTCGCACAATTTTTATTGGATAACAATCACGTGAAAGTCACGGGAATGCACTTAGAGAGGGAGTTTTATAAATATGGGAATGAAAAAAGACTGTGCAGTGCAGGGGGAAGGGGGTGTGCACTTATCTCTAATTCCCAAGCTTAGGAATTAATGAAAGCATGCACTTAGAGTGGTTGACTATATGAAATTTATAAAATAATAATTATCAATAGATTATTTTTAATCAAAGGTCAGTATTAAAATAAAGCAATAAACAAACAATTTTATCCAAAGATTTATGAGTAAAAATTTTCTAATAGACCAATACAAATAATTGATAGATTATTTGTCCAAATGTTTGCGAGTAACAACTTTCCAAGTTTTTAAAATAAACCAATAAACAAGCAATTGATAGGTCATTTGTCCAAATGTTTGCAAGTAACAACCTTTTCCAAGTTTCTAAAATAAATCAATAAACAAACAATTGATAGATTATTTGTCCAAATTTTTGCGAGTAACAAAATACTAAAAATATATTAA